GGCTTCTGTGGCTCTCTAAGAATGAGGAATAACACACCCAGTGGCCTCTGTGTCATTGGCTTTTGGGCCATTGAACCAGCTGGAAGGGGACTACCCCACCTTGGTCTGTGATAGACCCCACACTTCCTGGCTGCTACTCTGTGGAGGCAGGGTGCATGGGGGCTATGGAGGACAGGCTTTGGGTACCTGGTCACTGGAGGGCTTATGTGGCTCCCCACACAGTAGACTGTACCCCCTAGGCCCTCTGTATGGCTTGTGCACTGGCCATGCTGGTGTCAGAAATGGAGCCCTGGTCTCTAGGTGATTTGTTTTTATTTACTTTTTTAATTTTTTAGACTTAATTTTTTTGATGATTTGTTTCAAAATTGTGCACTCACTGTGTGCCAGCCTCTGTTCTCTGCTTTCAGTAAATTCTTCCATGTAGTCCTCATAACAGTGTGCTGAGCTGGGGCATGCTCTTATCCCCATCCTAAACACAGGGGGTTATGCTCAGAATCACATGGCCCTGAAGGGTGCACCAGGATCTGGATAGGCTCTTTGCAGATTCTCTGCCTCCTAGCATGTGAGATTTCTACTATATGTCACTGCCTCAGCGACTAGATCATTTCTGTACATTTAAAAGAAAGTCAAGGGATCCCTGGGTGGCGCAGCGGTTTGGCGCCTGCCTTTGGCCCAGGGCGCGATCCTGGAGACCCAGGATCGAATCCCACATCGGGCTCCCGGTGCATGGAGCCTGCTTCTCCCTCTGCCTGTGTCTCTGCCTCTCTCTCTCTCTCTCTCTCTGTGTGTGTGTGTGTGTGACTATCATAAATAAATAAAAATTAAAAAAAAATAAATAAAAGAAAGTCAAGAATTTTCAGTGCTGATACAAAACTGTGACTTACACAATTTGTCTAGATGTATGAGGCGAGTGAGAAGTAAGGGAATTGGCAACTCAAATTCCATGTGTTAAAGAGTTCTGCTTTGCATTGGTGGGCATCATGTGCGTGCCCAAGGAAATAATATTAAACAGATAAGTCTGATATTGGGATTGGGACTGTAGCTTCCGTCAGCCACCACGTGGTCCTGCCAGAGCAACCTCCTGGGAATGTCATTCACACTGGGGCATGTGGGGTCTCCCTCAGGGTCACAGATGGCATCAGACCAAACATAAGAACCAACACCAACTAATGTAATGAAATGGTCACTGATTTGGGGTTTAGTTTAAATGGCACAGGAATTTCATAAACAGTTACACATTATTTAAAAATCAATAGAATGGTCTGCTCAGTCAGACTTTGAGAGCAGGTTGCCATGCCCCAGGGAGTGTTCAAGGTATCCAGAACATCTTTACCTGCCCTGGCTGTATTCAGGTGGCCTGAGGAGGGAGGAGCTAGGACTGCTGGACCATATGGCCTCCAGGAGTCCTTCTTAACTCAGGCTTTGCCAGGCCTGCTCTGTGGCAAAAGTGTGGCTTTAAAATTAAGCAGTTCTTGATGCATTTTAAATTCTTTTTGAACTTTTATTTCAAACTTTACATATGAAGTAAAACTTTGATGTCTGTAGATGTTACTACTTAAAATTCTCATAATTATTTGGGGCACCTGGATGGCTTGGTCAGTTGAACATCTGACTCTTGATTTTGGCTCAGGTCATGATCTTGGCATGGGATTGAACACTGTGTCAATCCCAGTTCCGCCACTGGAACAATCCCTTCTTCCAGGACTTCCCTATCTGTTTAAGCCAAGACTGAGTTGGGTTTTCCATCATTGGAAACATCCCAACTGATAGACATCCCAACTGATGGACATCCACAAATGTAATATTCTTAACTGAAAACTTAAAAAACTAGACATTGTGAAGAATGATTTCCCTTCAGATCTTTAGCAATAATGACCAGTCTAACAAACTCCAACACACCAAAATCTTAACTTACTAAACAAAGCAGATCCCAAAGCAAAATAACTGGGTTATAAGAGCCTGTGTCGGGGATCCCTGGGTGGCTCAGCGGTTTGGCGCCTGCCTTTGGCCCAGGGCATGATCCTGGAGACCCGGGATCGAGTCCCACATCAGGCTCCCGGCATGGAGCCTGCTTCTCCCTCTGCCTGTGTCTCTGCCTCTCTCTCTCTATCATAAATAAGTAAATAAACTTAAAAAAAAAAGAGCCTGTGTCACATCATAAAAGGATCTGCCAGTTTCCTCTCATGTAACACAAAATAAGTCAATGCACAAAAGCTGATATATGCCAGCGCTTCTCACACTTAAGTCTATTAGAATTACCTAGAGGCCACTGGTTTATTTGAGAAGCAAATGATTTCAACTTAAGGTAGACTGTGTTGGTACAACAAGCCATTCTGGCTTGAAGTTTAAGGAAGGACAATCCGAGGTTGAGAGAGACATATATTACCAGGCAGCACCAGCTGCGTGCTCTTTCATCAAGATTTTATTTTCTTTAAAGATTTACTCATTTGAGAGAAAGAGAGGGAGAAAGGAAGAGAGGGCACAGAGACCACGCCAGCACAAACAGGGGAGAGGGAATGTGCCACCTAGGAGCCCCTTTCATCAAGATTTTAAAAACACAGGACGCCTGGTGGCTCAGTGGTTGTGCGTCTGCCTTTGGCTCAGGGCATGATCCCGGGGTCCTGGGATCAAGTCCCACATCAGGCTCCCTCCATGGAGCCTGCTTTCCCCTCTCCCTATGTCTCTGCCTCTGTGTGTGTGTGTTTCTCATGAATAAATAAATAAAATCTTTAACACACACAGACACACCAACATCCAAAGGGCTTCTCCATTCCTGGGTTCACAGAAAGAAACATTCAGAATCCTTTGGTGGAAGTCTCAGAAGGCTCAAGGTTACCCCAAGGATGGGCAAAGGAAAAGCCTTCTGCTACCGCAGCCCTCCAAATAGCTCCAGGTGGAATGTGACCCAAAGTTTTTGCCTCCTGCGTGTGACTAACCAAATCTCTGGCCAGGAGCCTGAATTCTTAATTTGCACTTGAAGCCAAGGACTCAGCTCAGCCCAAATCTAGTCTAGCTACAGCCATGACCACTCAGCCTTTTACAGAATAACCATGGAATCGAGAGCAAAGTGGCTGTGGCTCTGGAGTTGCCCCTGCAGGTCAGAGGGCACTGGTCCCTCCAGCCAGGAGCGACACCATGCCCCTGACTAAGCCTCTCAAACTTCTAGTTCAAGGTGAGGCCAGGACATTGTGTTTCTGCTTCCTTATTCTAGGCCTTCCCTCAGTCAGGGAAGGAGAGTTCCAGCAGCCACCTTTTCCTGGTAAAATCTCAAAGGTAAATGTCCAAGGTAAAAAGAATATGGTCAGAGGGATCTCTCACATATCCAAATCTCAAACACCACATGTGCCATCTTTCCCCAAAAAAGGACCCTCCACCAACCAGCACTCTGGTAAAGCCACTTACCATTAAAAGGCAGGATCTGAATACTTTGAATACTTACAGTTAGAGCTCTGCAACTCTTCTGTTAGTCTATTTTCTACCACCAAATGTTCATAAGGACTAAGGATGGGAACAAAGGACACACCCTACCAGGAAGGGATTTCCAACAAGCTAACAAGCTGTTGGCAAATGACTGTGTCAGTTCACCCATCCCTGAGCAGCCCTATAAAGCACAATGTATAGAGAGAAGTAAGAGGGATAAACAGTTTTACATCAAAGATTATATAAAGTCCTCAATTTTCAAAACGTTGAGACCCTAACTTTTCCTCTATAAAATGTTTCCAATTTGGTGGTGTTAAATGTTATCTGATGTTCAGTTTCTTCCGAGAAGGCTTGTTATTCTCTCATTCTGCAAATATCATTATCCCATATTTTTTATCGAATCTGAAATACGTTTAAGACCCATTTTTATTTGCCAGTACAGACGAGTTCAATCTGTAACAGTCTAAGCCACTAACAGACGATGTATGGGTGAAATAGAAAAGGGACAGCACGGACAAGACGCCTTATCTAACTGCCTCAGCGCTTTTCTTTTAATATCCACAAACTGACACACAGTTCATAAATCTCTGAGGCAGCTCAGTGTTCTGTTCCACGGACCAATTCTAACTATCTTTGATTTTCTGCTTTGAAACGTATTCTAAGTCCAACAGGGAAAACCTGGGAATCTCAGTAACAGCTCCAAGAAAAACTCGCGGTCGCCTGTAATCCGTCCTTCCTGCTGCTGACCGCGCCGATGGCATCACTTGACCTTCTCCAAGCTCCACAGCGGTGCCCGGGGCACCGGCACCCCCACCCCCACCCCCACCCCCACCCCGCTGCTGGACGGCTTGGCCTCAGTGTGCAACACCCGAAGAGATCAGACCGACTCCTGCGTGGGCTCGAGGCTGAGCCCACGAACGAGAGGGGCAACCAGCGCAACACCTAAAACCTGCAGCAGGCGTTGAGTCCCGGACAGTGAAGTGTCATTTCAAACAGATTCTCCGAGTGCAAACCCGTGATACACCCAAAGGATGTGACCGTTGTGCGGAGTCAGAGCCCTGCAGGCGAAGGGCAAGGCTGCAATCAATCCCGGCGCCCCGCCTGGAGGAAGGCCCGCGGACCCGGCGCTCGCCCCGATGCCGACCGCAGCAGGCGTCCAGGGCCGCGGCGAGGCCCACGCGGCAGGAACCGCAGCGACGGCGGGACCCGGTTTCCAGAGGCGGGTGGGGCAGTCGGATGCCCGCGGGACGCGCGCCTCGGGAGTAGCCAACCCCGCCCCAGCCTCCCCGGGGGGCGGGAACCGCGGCCCGCACGTCGGGCTTACTGCTCCGGGGGCCCCGCGCCCCGCGCCCCGCGCCAGGGCGGGGGCGGGGGCGGCGATGTCGCGGGCTCGCCCCACGGCCCCCCCGCGCCCACAGTCGCAGGGCCTCGGGCCCCCTCGGGCCCCCTCGCGCCCACCCGCCGACGGCCTGGGGCGCAGCCTTTCCTGTCGCGCCGCACCCGGCCCCACGCGCGGCGGAGGGCCGAGCCCCGCCGGCCCCGCCGGCCCCGCCAGCCCCGCCAGCCCCGGCGCCGCTCACCTGGGCGGCGGGCGCCTAGGATCTCCGCGCGGGCTCCGGGGGCAGGCCCAGCGCGCCGGCGCACGCCACCCCGGCCCCGCCCCGCCCCGCCCCGCCCGCCGCTCTTTGTGTCTGGAGGCCCCGGCGCCGCGCTCCCGCAGCCTCCGGGCGCCGCCCCCTAGTCCTCCTCGTGCTGGGCGGCCCCCTCGAGGGGGCGGGGCGAGGCGAGCGGGGTGGGGCGGGGCGAGAGGGGTGGGCGGGGCGAGCTGGGTGGGCGGGGCGAGCGGGGTGGGGCGGGGCGAGCGGGACGGGCGGGGCGAGCTGGGTGGGCGGGGCGAGCGGGGCGGGGGGGCGGGGCGGGGCGAGCGGGGCGGGGGGGCGGGGCGGGGCGAGCGGGGGCAGGGCCTGGGCGCCTCTCCAGACGCCAGGGCCTGCCCGGACGGTTTCAGCCCCAGCTTCTCCGTGAGGTTTGGCTGTTCACAGCCCTTACTCCAGCTCATCTTCTGGGAACAACCCGAGGAGGCAAGCTACGTAGTAATACTCAGTTGAGGAAACGGGAAGACACAAAACTTAAGGTTCTTGTCTTCCCATCATATAGAAAATCATTTATTGAGCACGTACTAGTGCTAGGCATCGTCCCAGGGCTTGAGAATGGAGCAGTAACATGCTGGCAGGGTTGGCAAAATGAAATAATAAAATAGAATAGAAAAAATAATAAAAAAAAATAAATAAAATAATAAAATAAAATATAAAATAAAAATAAATAAAATCCCTGCCCCTCCCGGAGTTTATACACCAGGAGACAAATTAAAAGCTTAAATGAAGTATACAAAAATGTTAGATACTTATAAATGCCAAAGAAAAACATTAAGAGAGGAGCTTCAGAAGTGCAGGAGGTTGGGCCAGGCAAGGCCAGAGGACGTGACATTGTAAGTGAGGGCCAGAAGGGAATGAGAGAGGGAGACAGGCGGCTAACCCAGGAGCGGTGGGCCAGGCCTTGAGTCTAGAGGATGCCCCATGAGTTTCTTTGTGGCCAGGAAGAGTGTGGTGTGTGAGGCCAGGTTGAAGTGAGAGATAGGCAGAGAGGCATGTAGGGCAGTGCTGCCCCTTGTGAGGATGTGGCTTCTTCTCTGAGACTTCGTAGAGGGACTTGTTGGACTTAAAGTTGTTCTGGTCACTGGGTGAGGGCAAGTTGGGGGAGAGCCAGCAAAGGTTGAAGTAGGGAGACCATTTAAGAAGTGATGGCAGAAATGGGCTGAGAGGTGAAAGTGGCTTGGACCAGGGCGAGGGGGAACAGTGGTTAGATGCAGGATGTGTGGTATTAGGGATGGTCCTGCAGACAGGAAGTACCCCTAATTGGAGGCGGGTTGCGGGAGTGACTACAAGGGTAACTACAAGATTTTGGCTGAAGCAACAAGTTATTCATTTTGTGCGGAGTTCCTTCCATGCTCACCTCATTTTAATACTCACAACAATCCCAGGCCGTAGTTGTAAAATTGTCTTTTTACAGAGGGGAGAAATAAACTTAAGTGATTAAATAACATATACCGCGATCCATATATCTCCCAGGTACCGACATCTGACCCCAGAACTTGCATATCCTCTGCCAGCCCTGGCTGCTGATCAGAGACCTGCAGCTGATACCCCTTCTCCCTCCTCCCTTCAGTGTTCTCAATACCCCCACTGTCCTTCCAGTCATCAAAATAAGAGGCTTGTCTTCATTCCTTTCTTCATGGCTTCAGGGCATGAGCCAGCTGCACTCTGGGTCCCTGTCCTGTGGCTGCTCTGACTATTCCTTCCCAATGATCCCTTGTGGTCCTCCTTTCCTCTGCCCTAGGTATTTTCATTCACAAGGGTCCCAGGCTTGGCTCCCTGCTCTCTTTGCCTGTTCTCTGGGTGCTTCTGCTGTCCCCCATCTTAAGTCACCAACCTTGTGCTGATTGAATGGTATTCCTCAGTATTTCTAGTCTGTTCTCATTCTGGTCCTTACTCTCTTTCTCTGCTATTTAAAAAAATATATATATATTCTAGTGATTTTCCTTTTTTAAAAAAAAAATATTTTATTTATTTGACACAGAGACAGAGAGCACGAACCAGGGGAAGGAACAGAGGGAGAGGGGGAAGCAGACTCCCCACTGAGCGGGGAGCCTGACATGGGGCTCCATCTCTTCACCCTGAGATCATGACCTGAGCCAAAGGCAGATACCTAACCAACTGAGCCACCCAGGTGCTGGTCTCTTTCTCTCTTACAGCCCCAAACATCCAACTGCCAACTGTATATTCTACCTCCATCTCTGACAAGCAGTTCAAATTCAGTCAAGTTTCAAACTGAAAGACTTATTTTTCCCCTAAAATATGCTTCTTCTTATGGATTCCCCTTTTGGTAAAGGTCACAGCCCTTCTATCTCCTCCTTGAATTGGCTCAGTTGCTGAGTCCTGTAGATTCCTGTGTGTTTTCCCTCTCTCTCTCTCTCCCGACCCCATCATCCAAGCCATGCCTTTCTGGTCAGGCCCTCTGAATGCCTCCCCAGGACTCCTAAAGCACTAAAGCCTGCTATCTGTACTTGTGCTTGTCACCTCTGTATCCCAGCCAGACATGCTTTCTAAAACTTACACCTGTGTTGTCTCTGTTCTACATAAAGCCCTTCAAGGCTTCCTGCTGAAATTGTTTAGCTGGTCCTTTCTTCTGAACCTGCCACTTTTCCAGCCCACCCACCCCAGCCCCAGTCCATTCTCATCTAGACTTCAGGCCAGTGGGGCCTTTCTCAGTTCTCTGAAAATGAAACAGACCATGGGCTGTCTTTTTCCCAAGATTTTGCAAACCCCCTAGTTAACCTCTCAGTCAGCTTCAGCACTCAACACAGGAACCCACCTCCCCCACTACCATTCATTTGCTCCCTTTCCTCTCTTCCCCGGACACTCATGTTCAACTCTATCCAATCTCTGTCACTCTTTACTCTGATAATCTCTTTACTGATTCACTCTTTTCTGCTAGTTTTTGAGCTCCTATGAGCAAGGGCTGTCTTTTTTCTCTGTTCCCCATGCCTAGAATCCAGTAAGTGTTATTTGTGACAGCTAAAAGATAAAATGAGCTATGCTGGACCTGTACCATCTCCCTCTTTGACCTTGTTAATGATGCTTCTCTACCCCTTAGTTCCATTCTTTCACCCCTGATGCAGAAAGGGAAGTCTTATCAGCATGACAATACATCAGAATGGTGAAATGAGCTACACTGTGATCTAGCATGAGAAAGGTGTCAGTGTATATATTTTATAGGGACTCCACTTTAAAGGATGTGAGGATCTGAGGAAACGTGACTAGTGGGGAGGAGGCAGGATAAAAGCTAGGCTCTGGAGAAACAGGGTAAGAAAAGGAGGAGGGGAAACAAGGACAAGTGAAAATTGCAACTGCCTGCAAATAGCAAACCCCACACATAGTGAAAGACAACCAGAGACTAGTGAGTGATGCTCACACCATGCTGTGGGCTGTGAGGTTTTCCTGACTTGCTCTGAGTGAGGTTGGAGCCCTTCTGATGTGCCTGTGACCCTTCCCAGCCAGTGAGAGTCACAGCGGTGGGCCACACCATTGCAGAAATGGACTAGCTGTGGGATGCATAGCCAAGATCCTGACCAATTCTTTATGATACTAAGTTCCCAGGGGTACCTGTTGAAATAGCAATGAAGAGTCAGAATGACCATGTGCCCAGGTAACCATTCTATAACTCTAAGGAGAAAAAAAAGTGAATAATAGGGGTCAACTCACAGTCTTCAACACAATTGTATAAAAATATTCAGGTCTCTTGTTTTAAGTCTCACAGCCATTAAAATTATTTTCCTTAAAATAAATAAGTGAATATAAAAAAGAATAAAATTATTTTCCTTTTCTTTTTAGCTTTATTTATTTATTCATGAGAGGCACACAGAGAAAGGCAAAGACACAGGCAGAGGGAGAAGCAAGCTCCATGCAGGGAGCCCGATGTGGATTTGAGCCGGGACTCCAGGATCACGCTCTGGGCCGAAGGCAGGTGCTTAACCTCTGAGCCACCTAGGGAATCCCCATTTTTCTTGTTTCTTAAGAATGGCCTGTATTGCTATATACTTCCCTCCTAGGACCACCTTTGCTACATCCCAAAGGTTCTGAACTGTCATGTTTTCATTTTCATTTGCTTCTATGAATATTTTAAAATTCTTCCTTGATTTTCTGGTTGACATATTCATTCTTTAGTAGAATGCTCTTTAATCTCCATATATTTGTGTTCCTTCCAAATTTTCTCATGTGTTTGAGTTCAAGTTTTAAAGCATTGTGGTCTCAAAATATGCAGGAATAATCTCAATCTTTGGTACCAGTTGAAACCTGTTTTGTGACCCAATATGTGGTCTATTCTGGAGAATGTTCCATGTGCACTTGAGAAAAATGTGTATTCTATTGCTTTGGAATGAAATGCTCTGAATATATCTGTGAAGTTTATCTGGTCCAATTTGTCATTCAAAGCTCTATTTCTTGGGTGACCTGCTTAGATGATCTATCTATTGCTGCAAGTGGGGTGTTAAATTCTCCTACTATTATTGTATTATTATCAATATGTTTCTTTAATTTTGTTATTAATTGGTTTATATATTTCGCTGCTCCCAAGTTAAGGGCATAAATATTTCTTGTTGGATAGACCCTTTATGATATAGTGTCCCTCTTTATCCCTTACTACAATCTTTGGTTTAAAATCTAAAATGTGGGATCCCTGGGTGGCGCAGCAGTTTAGGGCCTGCCTTTGGCCCGGGGCGTGATCCTGGAGACCCGGGATCGAATCCCACGTCGGGCGCCCGGTGCATGGAGCCTGCTTCTCCCTCTGCCTATGTCTCTGCCTCTCTCTCTCTCTCTCTCTCTCTCTCTCTGTGACTATCATAAATAAATACATAAATACATAAAATAAAATAAAATAAAATAAAATAAAATCTAAAATGTCTGATGTAAATGTTGCCACCCTAGCTTTCTTTTGATGTCTATTAGCATGATAAGTGATTCTCCACACCTTCACTTTCAATCTGCAGTTGTCTTTGGGTCTAAAATCAGTCTCTTAGGGGCTCCTGGGTGG